TTGTGGGTCAGAAAAGAAGGGTTGTGGGTCAGAAAAGAGGGGTTGTGGGTCAGAAAAAAAGGATGTGGGTCAGAAAAAAAGGGTTGTGGGTCAGAAAAAAAGGAATCCCTTTTTAGATCCATCATCAATGTATAGTCGCCGCATGCTTGCTCCGTTGAGTACATGCTTGATTCTTTGTCATCGGCCTTGCTCCCAGGAGATCTTTTTGACCACTAAGATCCCTGGCCCTATCGGCAGGAATGCCACGCACCAGATGATCCTCACTGAGACCTTGCCAAAGCACCTTGCCGGCAAAGCTGCGCACTTCATTTGCGTGTTACGGAGGCACGGAGAAACCCAACGCAGATGCAGTACAGTGGTTTCAGAGTAGATGGCACAACCCCCAAGACGGGGGTCCACATAAACAATCTCTTGGGGACTGTACCATCTACAGAGCGGATTCAACTCTCAATCCATATGTGTATGTATGTAATGTAATGTAATGTAATGCAATGTAATGGAATGCAATGCAATGCAATGCAATGCAAGGATGTATGCATGTATGTATGTATGTATGAACCATAATTATGGAATCGCACAAGCTGAGAAGCTGTGGTGTTTTGAACCCGAGGAATCCGAGAGGGGAAATCGGTTGTTTCCATGTGTTTGAGCCATTGGCACGGCCATTGTTATGATCAATTCCTGGAAGGCAGATCAACCGCCGGAAGAGAATGGATTCCACCACCTGGTTTTGACCCGTGAATCTGGGAAGGCAGCCTTTCCATGCCTTTCCTCCAAAAACGAGATGGAACACATTCAGCGATTCGCTGAAACTCGGAGTGCGAACGAGTAGAAATCGGAGTCCTGGGATGGCCCACTGGAGGCTCGGGATGGACTATGTGGATTTGGTCCTCATCCACTACCCATGTGCAGTTCCTTGCATTCGTCGGGTGGATGCGCCATGCTGGGTGGAGGGGGGTTCGTCGGATGGGAGGTGAAGGTTGATGCGGCCAAGTCGGCTTCCCAGCCCCAATAGCTTCAACTTGGCAAGATGCCACTTCCTCTCGCGGCCAGGTTGTATAGCTAGAATCTCGGGTATTTCATATATGCATACATACTTGTGAACACCTTTATTCTCTTGGGTTTGAGGGCCGCTGGTGTTTTTTAGATAGGGATCCATCTTTACCACCGGGGCCTGGGCGCTTGTGCCATCACCTAGTCCTGAAACCATTGCTTTTTTACGCTTCCGGCCGCTTCCGAGGACCTCAAGGACTTCCCCAACAAATGTGGCGCCGCGCAGCACGCTGAGCGCCTCGACACCTGGCGCGGGCTGCAGGAGCTGCGCAGCGCTGGGAAGATCCGGGCGACGCTGAGCGCAGTGAAGAGCGCAGAGACAGGGAGGGATTGGATAAAGGTAAAAGGTCATTTGAGTCATTTGGTGGGCCGGGCGGTGATTTGGGCCACAACTTGACAATGTCTGGACCATCACCTAACAGCACTCGGAACAGTTCCGTCACGCTCGCAAGGGTTCAGCCACGCTTGTTCAGTGAAGGAATTACGCAAGCTGAATCAGTGCTGGCTGTTCGGAGACTTCGCGGGGGTTTTGTTCTAATCGAGGATCGGCGTGAGCAACTACAATGCCGAGCAGGTTGAGGAGGTGATTCAGGAGTTCAAAGAGGTTCCTGCTGTGAACCAGGCGGGCGCCAAACGCCCACCAGCGGGTCTGAGGTGGCATGAGAGTCGTTTGGTGATCATAAAAGGGTTTTTGCATCTTGGACGGTCTCGAAGTTGAGCAAAACAGGATGAAAGGATGCCACATGATGCCACCCATTTCATGTAACATTGATCCTCCTTGCTGATTAAAAGAGTTGAGCTCATTCCCGGCTCAGGGACCCTGGTCGAAGCCCTGTTAGGTTCAATTTCATTTGGCCTATCACAATGAGACTCTCTTGAAGTCCGGCGTCAGACTTGAGGCACAGGACCCGAACAGGAGCATTTGCAGTGGTTATTTGCATGTTTGCGGGTCGAGCGAGATGTAGGTCTTTGTGGTATAGTGTTCTACTGAGGTCGGGGTCTCTAAACAATTAAAGGCCATGCTTGGGGGCCTTCCCACGCACACGGATGTGGCGTTGGGAGTCGTGATGAGTCTGGTGAGTCGTGATGAGTCTGGTGTGCCCGAAGACTGAAAGCACGCGGCTTCCATCGGCACCCATCCTCCTGGGAGATGGGCAGGCGAAAAAGAACAGAAGGCTCTTGGGGTGGCAAGCCCTACACAGTGGATCCCAAGATCACCACTACATCAGGAATCCCGTGGTTTTAGGATGTTTACCGGGTTTTCGTGGCACAATCTTAGTAAAACAAGGGTTTGTCTGACCAATTGCTGTTGGAAAACGGCCCTGGCTGTTGGAATCCCAGCGGTGAGGACGAATGAGGCGGATTCTTTGTTCCTCACCCCTCCGGTGTCGCTGATTCGTCCAGGCTTGGGCGTCCTTGGCCGGGCCCACGGCCTCCTACCAGCAGGTGGAGCCCGGGCGGTTTCCGCGCCCTGGGCGGGTTTCAAGGGATTTCATGAGGATTTAATGGATGGTATGTTCCAAATTGGGACATGAAAACATCTTACCCCGGAAGTCGTTTCAAACGAGTCTGGTCTTTTTTTCATACACGTCTCGTGGTGAACCGTGGGTTCACCACGCGGTGTGGGTGTGATTTGCTGAGCTGCCAGGTGCCCAGCATCTCCCTCACCGACCCGCGCTTGATGGCCCTGGCACAGCGCTACGGTGTCAGCAGCGCGCAGGCGAAGCCACACGACCGGACCGGTCCTGAATCCATGGGTCGAGGGAAGAGAAGCACCCGCAGGGTGAACCTTCAGCACACTCGGACTTTCAGGGGCCGCGGTTCCACTTCCGTTCATGATTTCAGGACGTGTCTTGCTTTGAGAGTTGAGTCAGTAGGTCACGCTTCTCATTGCTCGCCCGGGATTTGTTCAATGCAGTGAATGGAATGAGTGTGAAATAGTGTGAAAGTGGCGTGGTGACCGCCCTCTTTTCCTAGCAGAGCTAGCTGAAGCCAGCCCCTTTTAAATTGGAGCCGCGAATTCGGCAGATAGTAACTAAATCTAGATAAGATGTTCTCACAAAAGGGGTCCTTTGTGCTGAGCTTCCTTCCAGTCACAGGATTATCACAATTCGTCTCGTCGTTGGCTAAGCCCCGTGTATGCTGATGGTTCACCAGCATGTCGGAAAACACACTCAGTGATTTTGACACACATATCTATATATATTATCATATAAAACACACACTCACATATATATATATATACATTTAGCATTTAACACACTCTGACACTGGTTTTCAGTTAACTCAATTTCTCCAGAAAA